TGCTGCTACAGTGAAAGATGTCATGAAAGTTATTAAAACAAAATGCAATGTCATCAATATTGCACCAGTAAAGGAAGTGGTCAGTTTCTACAGCATAACAGAAGCTAAGCCATTGATATCTGATTATAGTACAACACTTGATGAGTTTTGTCACAAACTAAAGCTTCAATTCTTGCTTGATAAGAAGCTTTCAATAAGCGATTTTCTCATTTGTGAAACAATTGAGTTTGTTCTAGACTGGGATCCTGCTGAGCACTTATTGAATGATATTCGCCGTTTAATGGAGAAAGCATTTCAAGGATTGAGCAGAAGGATCATAGTCAAAAGCATGCATAAAGGGAACTCCATCATTATCATTTGTGGTGCTCCTACTCATCTAATGAATGCTTTGCAATTGAGGGCTCGTGATAATCTTACTGTGCTGCAAGAAAAATTTGCTTTGATGAGATTGAAAATAGGACACTGTACTGTTTATGATAGAACCATCAGAAACAAAGTATATACCAACAAACAAATTATTATAAAACTTTATATGAATTTATTAGGAACTAAAGTCTGTTGCAGAGGGAATTAAATTGTGTGAAGGAGAATTAGAGAAGCTGAATCTATACCACAATGACAAAAAAGGTACATGTATGAGATGAATTATTTTGCTTATACAATCAAATCAATGTATGTATGTACAGGTCTCCTTGATGATCAAGAATCGCAACTTATACCTTTAAAAGAGAAACAAGGTAGGGACTGAAATTAGTCACATCAATTAGACAATTACATTATTGATTTTAATAATTTTAGAATTCATCAATAGTAGCAAGCAGGCATCAGGTATTGCATAAATTTATTATTTATTATCATATTATTGCATTATCAACTTGTAATCATATAAAGGTTCTAAAACTAAAGTCAAAGAAATGGAAAGAGAAAAGGCTGCAAATACAAAAAAGCGAATGTTATTAGGAGAAACTGAACATTTACAATCTACTCTAAGGATCAGAATAAGTATATACATTCCTTATTACCTTCTAATGACATGATACATGTTTAATAATAACATAATACATATGTTTTGTTGATACATGTGCTTTAAAACAGGTCGAAAGGAAGTACTACAAGACAATAAAAAGAAAATTGGGGAACTACAGGAAAGTATATCATCTATTAGTGTAAAATTGTTGGAAATGCAAACTTCTTACAGTAAGTATATCTATATTAGTATTCTAATCAGACATCAATAGATAAAAAAATAAAATCCACACAGACATTGCTATCACCCAATGGATCTATCTGTGAAGCTCAAGTTGATTATAGTGACCCAGTTATTTCATTCAAAAAGGGTGAACTACTTCAGTTAAGTACAAATGGACATGAGGTACAATCACTGGAGACTGGACAGAAGAGTGCTGTTCCAATGATATACATTGGATACTCAAGAGTAGAATTACTTTACTTGTTTCAGTTTGCAGTCATAAAGGAAGGATTATCACTTCTACCTGCTCTCCTTGATGATGATGAAAAAGCAGAATATTTTATACTAAAAATTGCTAAAGATCCTACTCTACTACAATCATTGAGGGAATTGATCACAAAGGATAAATGTAAATAAACATGTATGGTATGTGCTTGTTTAATAAAACTTGTTCTATATACAGTATTTGTGGCTAGTTATAATTTTGAAGCACAAACCTCAAATAACTTAACTTTAAAGAAAGGTTTGGCAACAATAAAGAAATGATTATTACATAATAATGTACTTTTATAGGAGAAGTTCTTGAAGTTGTTACATATTATGAAGATAGTGATTGGTGGTATATGCATTCACTTCATACAGACAATAAAGGATATGTACCAATTAATTATATAACACCGATTGAAGGAGAATACTCACCAATGAAATACATCTACTATCATACAGTGAGTCGTGCTGAAGCAGAGAAGAGACTGAGTCAAGCAGACACTCAAGCAGGTACTTTCCTAATTAGAGATAGTGAAAGCAATCCTGGACAGCATTATTCCCTTTCACTTAATGGTGGTGAAGTCACTATCAGGCACTACCGTATATCCATTGAGAATAATAAGTATTATATACACCCTCGTGTCAAGTTTGACTCACTCAATGACCTGGTACATCACTACATGATGAAAGCTGATGGTCTGATCTGCTCACTAACAGTTCCTATACCCAAACAAAGAAACATACCCATTGCAATGAATAAAGAGTGGGAACTTAATAAGTCCCATATTAAGTTTTCAGACATCAGTGTAGGAAGGTTTGGAGAGACATGGGTGGGTTTTTGTAAAGGTAAAGGGCCAGTTATGATTAAAACAAATATAGCAACAGATATTACACAAGAAACATTTCTTGACAAAGCCATTATACTGGTAAAACTTCATCATAAGAACATCATCAGTCTATATGGTGTTTGTACTGAAAGCTATCCTTTTTATATTGTAACAGAGCCAATCAATAGAAACCTCAAAGGTTACCTAACTAAAAATAATCCTACACCAGCAGAGTTGGTAGATATTGCTATTCAAGTTACTGATGGTATGATGTATCTAGCAGAGCAAGATTACATTCATTGTGATCTAAGAGCAGAGAATATACTATTAGGATATACTAACACTGTCAAGGTAGCAAACTTTCATCTTGCTCAACACCTCAATGGCAATAAATACTGGACTGTTGAGAAAGGAACTGATCTAGCTATAAGATGGACAGCACCTGAAGGATATACTTTAAAGCGACTGAGTATTAAATCTGATGTTTGGTCATTTGGTATATTACTATGGGAACTGGGTACCAAAAGAAAGGAACCGTATCCTGGCATGACTAATGGGACAGTAAAGGAGGCAGTATCAAAAGGTTATCATATGCCCATACCCCGAGATTGTCCTAAACCATTTAAACAACTTATGATAAACTGCTGGAAATATAAAGATGATGAAAGGCCAAGCTTTAAAAATGTTTTTGATGTACTTATCAAATACTCATAATACTTAATATTACATATTTTACATGAATTTTTACAACCTGGGGTTGTCATTCCTATTTTATCTACCTTAAAACAATCTCTGCTTATACACAATGTCTTTGTTTTTTAAATAATAATTTTAAAGTGAAAACGACAGGTCAACATGTAGCATGCAAAGTACTGAAAATAGGTGACAGGCACAAAGGCATGTATATAGGTACATGTATATTGCACATGTATTTCTAATCCCTTATTCCCTCCCTCCCTATAACATACGTGACTCAATGAGATGGTTTTATCATTGACTCCATTGAGGTTTCCCTTCTTAGGACCAAACAATCTCCTCCAATGATAATGATAAGTAACACCTGGTGATGAATCAGGCCATGTACTGGAGAATATCTTAATATGATCAGTTGGTAGTGTAATAACTGGATGTTTATTAGCAACTGCTATTGTATGGACTGTAGAAAGAGAGAGGAGAGATGGAGAGAATATTAAAGGAGAATAGGAGAGAGTGGGTACATATGGGAAAAAGGAAATAAGAAATAGAAGGTAGATTAATAATCACTAGGAAGTTATTCTTTAAAAGTTAATGAATAAACAAACAAAATGCATGTGTACATTTTTTAATGGTAAATGTTTTTTATGGAAAAAGACAGACAGTACATACACCATTCAAAATAACTGAACTGATAAATGATGGTACATACACTTTGCATTTGAAGAAATTGGCAAAATACTGTCAAGATGATCTCTTTCTCCTCATCATAGTCCACTGTAATTTATCAAAACTGACTTTAAAAATTGTGACATTTTCTGATACATATCAATACCATCAGCATATGCAATAAATGATGGCTCATCTCTTATCAAATATTTCATTATTAGATGAGTGATAGTAATCATGTAAAAATTAAAAATAATTATTATTATTGCAATAATTGAGTTTAATAATAATAATAATGATTATTATTATTATTATTATTAAGCAGAAAATTAATTTAAAAATCAAATATGAATAATAATGATGACAGTGAAAAAATGATTAGTTATTATTAAATTGCTTAACTATTAATTATGTAGTTATATTAATACTTGGGAGGAGTGGCTGCAGTTACGATACATTATTCAAAGTCTTCTTTGATCTTCCGGAAGATTCCGTCAGGTTATTTTTAACCCTGTTACTATTAATAGGTTGATTAATCAGTGCCTGCTTCTCACTCTTCCCTCCTCCTCCTCCTCCTCCTCCTTTCTTCTTTGATTCAAACAATATCTCTTCCTCTGTCTCAGTCTCACTCACTATCAGACTGCTTTTATCTGCAATGGACACATGAGACAGTCATGTGATAGTCATGTGATATGGTAAACTGGTAATGTTCTTATTACCTTTAGCAAACATTCTTGATTGAACTCCTTCTTCTCTGTTGTGATCCAAGATGGCGTATTTTACTCTTCTTCTACGAGAGTTCCTTCTCCTGTTCACAATAAAAATTAATGAATCAAAATCAGCTCAATCTTTTCTAAACACTATAAAGATATC